CAATAACTTATTGCCCATGCAAAAGTTTTCTCAGCTCCAATTGCCACTCACGCATAAGTGGCAGATATGGGTCTTAGATGAGGAACGAAGACGGCTGGGATTCTCGGTTTGGGTTGGTAGCACCTCACATGCCGATTACATGCATGTCGACGAGACTGACAACTAGGTTAATCAGCTTTTAGATGCTGCATTCGCTTCTGATTTCGAACTCAGTCGATTGGTGAGGGTATCGGAACTACAAATTCCCTTGCCACAGCCTGATGATCGTTGGGCGGCTGCCAACGCACAAAGTTGGGCTGGGTTTTCCAACGTCCTCGGTAACTCTTTCTTCGAATAGAAAATATTCGAGTGTTCAGAAAACTAATTTTCAATCTTAGAGTACAACGGCTCACATGGAGTGTTTACCATTGATCAGGTCGTGACGAATGACTGCTGGAGGTCTGCCTGGACAAAGACGAATACAATCGGCAAACAGGTTATCCTTCAACGACTGACGGACATCATATGCAGTCCGGATGCACCCACAGACACATCTTCCGCAGTTGAGGTGTTGAACGATCTGCTTAACATGATTGAGAGCGCGCAAACTGCCCAAGCCGTCGATGAGCTCAAATCCGCTACTACTCACCAATTAATTGCCTTGACGGGGCTGATGTTTTACAACGCCCCAACCTCCAAGCTTCTTCCAACCGTAGTCAAGTCTATCTATGGAAAGTTGAAAGACGAGGAGTGGACGCAAGCAGCTCAGCTATGGGGAGAATCAGGGAGACAGGCTAGGTTGGCGTGCTATTTCGCCGCACGAATTATACATGTAACGCGGTCGAGCCACTGTCCACACTTTGGAGCACCAGTATCTCTGCTGAGCGCTGTTTTCATTCTTTGGATCTACTCCAAGCTCGCTCAGAGATGCCCTGATGGCCTGCTTCTCATATCGTCCGGCCCAGTCGTGGTGCTCGGTCCGAAGGCGCGGCAGGATATGCCCGACACCAGCTGGGTTGAGAACGGATGGAGTCAGATCAAAATGCCTGGTATTGGTAATTTGTGTAATATTCAGGGCCGAAGGAAGTTTCTGGACGAGGCCATCCTGTCCATGAGGTCTCTCAAGGGGTGGGGCATTAGTGCGACATACTCTCAGCTACTCACACGTCTGCGGGCGAGTGAGCCATCTTCATAATGAGAGAGGATGTGAGTTGGCCTTTCCGTCACTCATGATGTGTCAAGATTTCTGGAAGTGGGAAGAAAGTGAAGGAAGCAAAATTGTTACAGTACCTTTTCTGTATGTAGTGTTTTGCTTTGCATACATATGTTGCAATGGCGTAATCAGCATGAAATAGCCGGCATCACGGACCTTGATAACGTTGTTGCTCAGAATTGTAGAAACATTTAGAACGGTGATAGGGGCCGTCTGACAGACGTCTATCTCTGTCTAGTAGAAGCCATACTATCTTTCGGAGTTGATTACAGGCAGTAAAAGCCAGCTGTTCTCCCCTCCAGTATGAACAGTGTTTATGCCAGTAAATGTCTTCTCGTCACGGTCTTTGGCGTGGCCGTGGGAAAAGCTTCCAACGCCCTGAGTATCGTGGCCAGCGATCTCCAAAACAAGTGTTTCCCCAGGCTCCAGGACAACATTGGTGGGCCAGACCTCAACATCAACAGCGTACTTTTCATTCTCCTTCACAGGCTGGACATCTGTGCTGTGATAGTTCCTATAAGGCATAAAGTCTCGATGAAAATGATGACTTGTGTCTACGAGCCGTTGTGAAACTCGCAACCAACCCTTGACTATGGGTACAGGGTCGCCCATGGTTCCGGTGTAGAAGACTTCTTGACCATTGACGTTGATCTTTCGAAGAGTAACGAAAAGGTCAATATCTGTAGGCGGACTATCCCTGGCTAGCTCTCGAGAAGCGGATACAGTGAGGTGGGCAACTATGTGACCAGTGATTTCCAAGGGTACGGGTGTTTTGTATCGAAAGGAAATAGGATCACTTCAATGCATTGGTCAATATTCCTGGAAAACTGTGGTTGAAGTCCATACTTACCCATCCATTGCATCGTACGACACAGATGTAGTAGTCTCCGAAGGATGAATCGCTAGTTTCCCATCTGCGGCGAGGAAGAACCTTTGATACTGGGTCCCAGGCAGAGGCCAGTCATTCTCATGTCTCTTTGGAAATTTGCGCTCTCGTTCAGGGTCGTCTACCCCGGCCTCGCCTTGCCGTAGACAGAGATGAACTCTGGGCTGACCCCCAGTCTTCCAACCATCTGCATCGTTATCCTTTAAGAAGGCATTGAAAAAGGATAGCTGAATCGCAGCGGATTCGGGATAGTAGAACGGAAGATCGTGTCTTCCTACGATGAAATGGAGAAACTTGTACTTGGAGCTAGCACGCATCCAGCCCAAGACATTTCCTCGCAAGTGCAGGAGTATACCACCCTTGTCACAAGATCAGCATTCTCCATGCAGATGTAGTTAGGAGTGGAGCGCTTCGGAGGTACTCTTACCCAGTTTGCCACACTCAACAAGGGCGTCTCGATGGCTTCTACATCAAAGTCCCGAGTCCGATAGTATTCTTCGTCGCGAAATCTGTGCACCGCGGTATCCACAGTCTGGTCCCGTCTGTTCTGTCGAAGGGTGTCTTCATCCAAGTCACCGTCGACGGTATCGTCACCCCAATTTCGGGCGGCGCGGCCGGGCTTCCCGTACTGGTTCGGCGAAACGCCGTTTTCCCACCAAAATTCTGTTCGCGTCCATTTTTATTGGCAAATTGTTCTTTCGTTATGACAACAGGGCCAGACTCACTAATGAACTTGTCCGATAAGATGCCTCCGTGTCGGACTCTATCGCGATAGTAGTCGCTCATTCCTTCCCATGGGATCATAGCGGCCAACCCCTTTGGCTTCCGGGCTGCTACTCGCCATTGTGTGCCAGCGTAGTAGCTAATCCCGAGGAGGCCGACTTTACCAGATGACCACTCTTGCTCAGAGCACCACTCGACGACGTTAAAAAAGGCCTCGCTAGTACCGCGTGACATGGTATCGAGGAGTCCAGGGCTTTGACCAGCGCCAAGCTCGTCGGCTCTAACCACGATGTATCCTTTGCTCGTCCAGAAGCCTGGGTCCGGAGTCTCCCATGACGCGTGGTGGGATTTCATTTCGGGATTCAACTGATCCCAGCTCTTCTTGTGGAATGCGCTGTATGGAACGTCTTTACCATCTTTTCTCCAAGTTAGTGCCTGAAACTCGCTCGAAGATCGTGGATGGTTCACGAATACTTACATGGTCCATACGTCGCAATGACTGGGTATCTTTCGGGACCAAAGGGCGCGGCGTCCTTGGGCAAGTAGACGTTGCATCTTAAAAACCCCTTTTGGTAGGTTCGCAGTGGTAAGTCCACGTTCTTCATGAAGACATACGGGAAGCTGTCTTTGTCGACCTCAAGGTACTTGTTTTCCGCCATTTTGTTCGTAATTTGGACTTTGCTTGTGGAGAGATACTGTGAGTTTGGCAGAATTTCTACGTCGTTGAGTGCTATCCATCATTCAATGGATAGGTTGGATCTTGTCACGATTTAGATGCCATGGTATGGTCGTGGTGATAATGTCACCGTCACTCAGAGCTTAGAGTCTTGATTCCGAATGCCTTGACCTGCCTTGGTACGCTGTCGGGCCAGGTGGGGTTCAAGGTCCGGCTGGCGTTCGGCTTCTCCACCACAGCTGTGTTTTAGTCGGTCGGCTCGGGACGGGACCACACCAAAGCACACTTCAGGCCCCACGTCAAGTCTCGCCGAAGCGATCCGCAATGTCACGGGGCAGGTCATTGAATTTGGACGCCAAAGCTTCCCTCTTCCTACGTATCGACGTCGTTGCCTCCTCTTTAAACCTTTGACGTGATCGCTACCCAGCCAGATGCCATATCTCGACGGCAAAATGGCAACTGTCATAGCAACTACCATAAACTCCTCGCGAGCTGAAGAGCTTAGGCTTGATTCAGAGACCACGAGGCTTCTTTCTGACTACGAAATCTATCGTTCGATTGCTTCGCCAGGCGACGACCACGGCGAAGATTCTTCTTTAGTCACAGTCGCTGGCGGCGTCCGGCGGGAGCGCCAGCCGGGTGATTTTGACCCCACGCTAGCTTCACATCCGCCAGTACCTTACCCGGTGTCAAACCCTGACTGGTGGGATCGTAGCTATCGACGCGTTCCTGATTTTCGTCCAGTAAACAGAGAACTCGACTTGAGTGATCGGCAACAAGGAGCAGTTTTTGCTTTTGTCGGTGCATTCATGGTGGGAGGATGCTGGTTCCAGTCAGTGAGTCAATGCTTTGTGCTTCATTTTCCATAGCTCAGCGTACGATGAAATCCGAAAAGCTCACAGAACTGTAAGGGATGGTCCTATGTCTGGCGGAATACTGCGGGCAGGATCACCGATATTGGTAAATCAAGAGTAGGGGGAGAATGGTAGATCAATCTCTTCTTATATTCGCACATCACATAGCCGACTATCCAAGAAGCCTGTATGTCAGGGGCTGTAAGGACCACCTCGCAGTCAAATGCTACCTTGAGCCTATGGTTAACGATGCATAGCACGGGCGTGTGTCTATAGATTCTAGACTTGATACGATATGCATGACTTGCCCACATGTCTTCATTTAAGTGAGACAATGAGCCAGTTACCAGGAGTTGTCGAAGTTTGTGTGCAGTGGAAACAAAATAATGAACAGGGAGAACGGCAGGAAAGAACCGACAGGTGGCAGTATGAGCTCGTGTAAGCCCTATAATTGCGCGTTCAAATTTGTCTCGGCGGATGGTGTATATCCGCGGCACTTAAACTTAAGTTTCTCTATGATAATTGCGTCTATTTCCCGAGTATTCAAAGTCATGATTTGTTTTCATTGGTGTGAATCTAGTGTTACTGCAACCTTCTTAAAGCACGAATTATTGATGACGACGTAATTCGCACGCATTCTTGTTGAAACTTGTTGAAACTTTTGATAGTCTAGTCCCAGGAACCCAGCTGATACTGGGTGTTGCACATGTTGACTAACTCCCAGCACTCCCCCATGAACATGTGCGGGCCCACATCTTTCTCATCCCCCGCAGCCCCGGCAGCAAAGAGCGTTGCCATATAGTGATCATCTGTTCCATGCGCCTCTTTATATCGCGGGTGCTTCATCAGTCTTGTGACCGCTCTTCGAAGATCAGGACCCGTATTTTTCATGATTGCGTCTTCGTGCGCTTGTCGAAACTCCAACGCGAAGGGCTCTGGCGGAACGGGCTGCGCAAAGTTGTCTTTGAACCGGATCATCCATTGCCAGTGATTCCGAAAGAGATTGTGAACTGAGCCTCCACTGCCGATGATGAGCGTGTTCTGGTAACGCAGAGGACGGAGAGTAGCGCCGATTTTGATGTGCAAGTGCGGATCATACCTTGCATTTGCTGAGACCACAGTGACTGGTGGAGGTACGCAGTGAGGAAACATCCGGATGATGATGAGAAAGACATCGTGGATCCAGTCGTACTTGCGGTTCGCCCGAGCATTGATACCGGCTTCCCGCAGCATGTCGATGACCTTTTGGCCTCCCTCTATGTCGGGTACCATTTTGTAAGGCATCCACCTTGAGTCTTTCACGCCTCCTACCGGGTCTTTGCCCGCATTCGGGTTCATGCTCACATCTACGGCATCACCAGGAGCATCCCAATGCGCTCCCTGTAATATACGAAGACACATGTTAGCTGTAGCACACGTTTGGGATAGGAGATATTACCATGATTACGATTCTTTCGATCCCACGTCTCAAAACCTCGTCGCCAACACTTTCCCATATGTGAGCTGGTTCAGAATCTTCACCAAGCATCATTGTTGATCCATGGGCGAAGAGGAACACCGGAGTGGGTGCTGTTGGGCATACGAGGTCAGTAAATGATGTTTAGGCGAGGACAAATCCGTCTGCGCCATACCCTTTTCCGCTGGTAGACTGCCCATGCTGTCTCGTATGAAGAAAAGTACACGACTGATGTCGCTAGAGACGTCGATATGGACTTCAATTTCAGATCGTCGAACATTTAACAAGAGACAATGTTGGGAGTTGCGGATTACGCCGCGTTGTTATTTCCTTGGACCAGTCCAATTTACTTCATTAGGCTTGCACTACCGGCGTTGTTTCTGCATGGTTCCCACGGTCGCTGGGGCGGCGTGTGGAGCCGAGCCGATCTCTCTGTGTGAGCTTGCCGATACTCCCAACAGCCAGCACGATTGACATCACAAAAGCCACGCAAGATATTTCTTGTTTTTGCGACGTATCGGGAATCATCTTGACCAACAGCCTGAACCTAGAATCCTTCACATCATGGCGCCAGTCGCGAATTTGTATAGCGCTGTCCACGCAGCGTGGACTGAGGGGCGGCTTGAGAATGTCCTCGAGCGCCAAAAGCAGCTGGCCCTCCTGCACAGCAACGTGAAAAAGTCGACCGAACAACTGATCGCAGCCATTGTGCAAGGTAGCTGAAATCTAGACGTTTCATTTTACAGACCATTAACATTCCTTCGTCCGCAGAATTACAGTCCAGCGAAGAAAGTGCGGCCGCAGAGCTTGAACTGATTCTCGAAAATATCAAATACCATTACGATGTTCTCGACTTCCCAGCAACGCTCACGAAAGAAGCCGCGGTGAGAAAAGGTTCCAGTAACATGGATAATAGCGTTCCTCTTGGCCCGACTTTGATCGACGCAAACCCTTTTGTACCGGTTGCAAGCACCCTAATTCCGCTAGCTGCCGCCGTAGCAGCTGGTAGTGCGGTGTTGGTCCTGGCTCTTTCTGGGCTCCCTATTCTCAATACGGAGCTGCGAAGAATCATTTCAGCAAGTCTGGATGTTGAAGCCGTGGCAATTGTCCCCGACAATTCTAGCGATACTCGTGAGCAACTTTGTTCGATGCGCTTCGAGGTTGCTGTCCTCCAGAATTCGAGTCACTGGAATGATCTGCGGAATGGGCTCTTCATGACCAATCCCACTATCAGAGTCCATTCACCAGCAACTGGATTCCCCGCGGTCTTTGTGGATCGCAGCACGCGTGACGTCGAGGCAGTCGCCAAACATCTTTACCACGCAGTACTTTGCGCGCCTCGTCATAATCCTTCCAGAGTACCTCGACTTTGCTTCGTAGACGAATCGAAGGCGAAAGACCTAGAGAGCTACCTTGTTCGAGCTGGCCCAGCCTCGATTCGCCGCCTCGAGGTTGCCAAAGATTGGCAGAGCACGCCACAGCTTTGCAAACTCCTTCAAACAGTCTTCCCCTCTTTAGTGAACAAGGCAATCAGCCACGACACCTTCACTTCAGTGATTGCTCTAGAATCCTCAGAGTGAGTGCGCCCATCCCAGAGCTTTCACTTCCACACCAGTCTAGCTAACCCTGCGACTATTAGCTCCATTACAGTAGACAGTATTGGTGCCGTGGCTCAGTCGATGGCTATGAGCGATCGTGGAATTCTGCTCATTCCAATCAGTAGCATGGATCATGGCATTGACATCTTGAATAAGCTGTAAGTTGAAAACCAATTATTCCAAGGAGACTCCTATGCCTCTGCTGACTTATAGATACAGGAACAAAGCTGGGCCCTCAGAGATAGTATATGCTTTTGGCGACGGTAAAGCCGGTCTCTACGTCGGCTCGTTCGTAAAGACGCTGCAGGTCTGTATCAACGAAGTGCCTGCGTGGTCCCTAGGTAAGATCAAGATCGTCCTCAAAACGATCGGCAGGACTTTCTAATCTAACCTGTCCATCCAGTTTTCGAAACATCGCCTTCATCGCAATCGAAATCAGACAAAATTTGGTACTCCCCCGAGGCCTTTTCTTTCAATAAGTCGATTCGGCAGGGGCCTCCCAAGGCTTCGCCGAAACCATCATCAGGAAGGAATGTGCTGTGGCCAGTGCTCGCTCACACTCTGTCGCTGGGAAAGATCAAACAACCGAAAGGTGGCCGTCTTAGTTACTTTGAGCGAGGCCTACTCATAGGCTTAGCTATTGGACTGCTTACAATCACTGGGGCTTCAGTAGCTGTTCGGTGTCTTATCCAGAGTTTTCTCAAGCGGTCGTAAAATGTACGACCGCAGCCTTTAGGTTGACATGTAGCAAGGGCAGTATGGTTACTGAACATTGCAAATGTAAAACGCGAAATGTCTATCCTCTTGCCAACTGCATAGGCCCCTGAGCACAGGAAATGTAGTAACTCTTGTGAATATCGAGCGTAGCTGGCATTGTCCGAATCAGGCCAAATGAGATAGATCACGTAGCAACTTTAACTACCAATAATTCTAAACATTATCGCAGCGTTAACAAGCCGACCCCAATATTCTGCACAACCCCACACTGATACATGCGGAGCCGCAATTCATGCATCTCAACCTTATCAATCCATATGTCACCTGTTTCGCTATTGATGCACTGCCCGGTGTTGAGTAGAACGTGCCGGCGGTGCCGTGTGGGGAGCCGAGCTAAGAAAGGAATACGTTTGGTACGGCTTCGACTGATCCAACATCCTTTCGAGGTGTTCATCGCCCTAGAATAAGTGGAAGTGGCCCACGTCCAAACACATCCTGTCCATAATAGTGACTCCTACGCGAAGAAGTACGGAAGCGCTGCACACGACAGCAAGACATCCTGTCCCAGTTTCCTAATATCATCAACAGGGTCAAACTATCATATCAACACAATGGGATTTTGGCCATACATCGGAACAATGGATAACCAAGCCCAGACTCCTTTCCGGCGTATTGTAACCCACCACAAGAACGAGAAGTCCTCGATCCTGATAAATGAGGAGCTTCAGTTCGAGGATGGGTGGGGCAGTCAGGCAGTCACTATATGGAAAAACCACGAATATCCCGCCGAGTACCAGGGCGAAAAGCCCGACGCCGTGCCGATCATCTACACCCACGGATCTTTAATTCGCGCGGTCGAGTTTCCTCCACATTCTCAGGGACACAATCATAGGACGGCTTCTCTTGACTATGGCATAGTCATGGAGGGCGAGCTGGAGCTATTGCTTGAAGATGGATCGCGAACTAACTTACGGGCGGGAGATATTGTCGTTCAACAGGCAGTAGGTGATCCATTGGCCATATTTGACATGTTGCTAATCGAGTACCAAAGACAATGCATCAATGGAACAATGTTTCAGACAAGCTTGCTCGCATAATATTCGTTCTCCTCCCAGGACAGAAGAAAACCAAGGATGGGATGGACATTACGGAGAAGGGAGTGCCTACCGAGATGTTGCCTAAGAGAGGATAGGAATGATAGAACAAAGCAAACGATAGCTGAACGACACTGGCAACTGGTTGTTAGACGGATGGAGTAGCCTTTCACGTCGTCAGATAGGGAACTACTTCTCATTTGTCTCATGAAGATGGGACCCAGTCTAGCTACTGTCCTGGGTAATCGCGCCGGAGCAGCTTCCGTGATCACATTACTGTCTCACTAGTTCAAATCCAAACCAAACGGCCGGACCGGATGACCTGTGAGAGATTATATCGGTAATTATCACGCCTCTTCCCATATTGAGAACGACATGCGCCTGTTGTAGAAGGCACAAAACGGCCGTGGGGCGCTGTCCATTAGCCTCAGAAAGCCGAGACCCGAGTTGCACTGGAGGCGACGTCACATTGAGCCGACCCTAAACATACTAGATCGTAGGAAACGGCTCATCGAGAGATTTCTTCCGCTGATTAGATAATTGAAGATGGGCCCAGATAGGATCTAACAAGTTTGAAGCAGAACCAGTGAGACAGAGTGCGCCAATTTCATTTTCATCTCTTTCTCCTACACAACACCAAATATATGCACACTAGGTTAAACCGGCCACACCACCTAGTCTCAGCAAGTGACTCTTGATCCGAATGCGTCTTCTCAGGAAGCCATAGAGTCAATTACACGGGTTACAAGATCCCTGTGAAAAACAGTCAGCACCACAATGCAAACGGACGCACACACAGGGGGTTTACTTACGTATCCATATATGCTCGTACAGTTGCGACTTTGCCTTTATCATTGAACCCAAGGATCCAAGTATACTCGTTGGGGAAAGGTTGTCCATTCTTGATCCGAGTTTTGACTGCTTTCAGCTCTACAGCCGCCTGGTTCCCACTGACAATAATGTTCTGCACCTCAAGGTGCAATGGCCCAGCCCAAGTTGCGGATAGAGGCTTGGTTCCCTCCTGAAATGCCGCTAGGGATTTATAGTGGCCGGATATCTTACAGTGTGCCCCTGTCAACCCTTGTAAGAAAATAATCTCTGGACTTGAATTACGCTTTGGCAATAACCTTTCACCGTCCAGTCCACATCAGGCTCTATGTTGGCAAGGAAGGATGCCATGTCGCCTCTGGCAAGCGGCTCGAACATCGTCGTGATTTCGTTTTCTGTAACCATTTTATGGACAGTGGAGTTGAGAATAGAATTCTTGGGAATAGTCGAAATCTTGGTTGATACCAAATTCAAGAAGCTGAGGCGCAGGTTTCAAACGCCAAAGTTGGTCTGAAGCAGACGAAAGGTCTGCCTGCTGCGGTTTTGAAGTCAGCAAAATTTCTCAGGTTAGCTGTGGATGCCGCTCACACTTTCCAATGGCAACATCTCAGGCGTCGGGTAAATGTGATATCATCGGCTTTGTGGGGATGCCGAGCGGGGGTCGTTGGCACTCGAGTACCCAAGAGAGGTGAAGTAGCGGGGCCGAGCGTCCTATGCTCACCACCCACTCAGCTCTGCCACTGCAAGTTAGTCTACGGAGCGACGCCCTGAAGACTTGGAAGACGTGCAATAGGTTTGGTAGGGCGAGAGTAAGCCTTCCAAGTGGCATAGCAACAGGAGTTACACACCATTCCCTATAGCCTAAGAGGAATACTTAGTACGCACGGTCTCGCTCAGGTGCATACGTGCAGGTGCTGTACAAGGCCAAATTTTCTTCTTTCTCACTCAAAGCTGTGATTTCACTTGCCAAGTTCTCACTCCAAGAGAGTTCCTACGTCGAACATCCCAATGCCTCTTAACATCATCGTTGTCGGTGCTGGAATTGGGGGTCTTGCATGCGCCATCTCTTTGACGCGTCAAGGTCATCATGTTGAGGTATGTAGTGTATTCCTCCAGTGTCGAGTCATAGTGATGATAGTAACGTGACTGCAAGCTCTTCGAACAATCCACGTTTCTCAACGAGATAGGTGCTGCGATCCACCTTCCGCCAAACGGCTCTCGAGTATTGAAAGGATGGGGATGCGACTTTGACGATCTGAATTACGTTTACTGCAACAGCATCACGACTTACGATAAGTCGGGCAACTTCAGATTCGTCGCCATTGTAAGTTTCCAATTATAAGATGTAGAAAGAGCTAACAAACGTTAATGTACGTAGGCCACCAAGGATATGCATCAAAAGCTCAATATTCGTGACGAGTGGCTCTTGACCCACCGAGTCGATTTGCACAATACCCTTCGCAAGCTAGCTGATACTGAGCCCTATGGGCAAAACCTCAATATCAATCTTCACAGCCGTGTTGTATGGGCTGTAAGTTTCATCGCCTCCTCTCGCCTGCCGATTGTTCGTTGTCCTCTCGGTGTTTGCATAGCTAACCACGTTTTGGACGCCTAGGATTCCGAAAATGCCGAAATTCTCTTGGAAGATGGCACCAGGTACAGGGCAGATCTACTTATCGGTGCTGATGGGGTACACGTGCGTTTCGAGGCCACTTTGCGCGTTCCGTTTTGGAATGATCACTGACGCATATCCGAACGATCAGTCGAAAGTCGTTTCTGCGGTGACGCTAGAGCAGCCGAAGCGCAAGTCTACAGGACAGAATACCTTTCGATTCTTAGTCTCAATGGACAAGATCAACGCTAGCCCTCTAGCGAGGCCTTTCTTCGAGGATTTGGGTCTGGATGATCAACATGTCTTTCTGGGAGCCGATCGGCGCCTGGTTGTTTATCCCTGCCGATCCAAAACTCTCCTCAATGTTGTCGCCATCCATCCTGCTGAGAACGATAGCCTGGAGACCGAATCTTCCTGGCTCTCGGGGGGTAATATGGAAGATTTGCTGCACACATATCGAGAATTTGGACCGGAGCTAATTGAGATGTGTCGCCTGGGAGAAGATTTGAAACTCTGGAGCCTGGCAACGCGTGAGCCTCCAAAGACATTCTACCGCGGCAAGACAGTCTTGGTTGGTGATGCAGCCCATCCAATGCTTCCTCGTATGTCTCGTCACAGCTTTCATTATTGAGACCTTGCTGATGGTAAAACGCAGATCAAGGCCAGGGTGGCGCACAAGCGCTTGAAGACGGCGCGGCTTTGGGTGCTCTATTGCCATACGACACCTTGCCCAGTCAGGTCAACCGAAGACTACAGCTGTTCAACAAGGTCAGATATGCGCGCACAATCACTGTCATGGTCATGTCAAGCACCAGTGACGATAGGCGTGCCGAGAAGATGCCAGAGCTCCAACGATACGTTCCCGATGCTCGCCTCCCGAAGAACATGTTTGAGTATACGTGGAGTTCGTACGCCACGCTCGAGGCTCGGAGGGCTTTGGAAGAAGATTTGGGAGCGAGCTTTGGACCTTCTGCTAGGCTCTGAATTTGGTCGACTTATTCGTATATTTATGATCATGAGTGAGATGTTTGTAGCGCAATACACATTTCTGGAACCACTTCGCTACTGATTTTACTTCTCAAGGCCCTCTTGTTAAAGTTTGACTCCTCCAATCCGAATTCATGGTATGAAGGACTTGGAGTATTCTTATTCTGAATTACCTCCCCAAACCAAATGGATGATTCATTTTATTTAAGATTCGCAATGCTTGATGCTTCTTGAACTCATTGGTACCATAAGATACCATCCGTAGGCGCGCATTTCAACATGCGTCAATGGTGAATGCTACAGATCATACTGATGTGGCAGCTTGGAAACATTGTCACATCAGCCGGAGGCGAACTCCTGAACCAATTGAGCCAGAATTATAGAAGGCGCTGGGGGGACTCGCTTTGATCTCGCTCTTGCTGTGGGGCCGCTGTCAGTCCGACACAGGTGGGGACATCGGCACTCCACCCCGGCCCGACCGACGGAATGCAGTGTTCCGAGGTGGCCTGGTAAAGCCAGTGCAATTCTCCAATACCGCCCGGAGATAGCGGCCTTTACGTTTGGGTGTGCCTTCTATGTTGATAGGAATCGTCTCATGCTAATTTCTGAAAGCAAAGGCTGAAATCTGAGAAAGACCTCGTCCCTAGCGGCTTCAACGACTCATGCGATCCCAATCAATAACGCAACAATTTGAGAGTGCAATCATGGCCAACGCCTTCGAGCAACAAGATGATACCTTTTCTCAGGTGAACCTACAGAGGGATCGATTTATCGATATGGATCATTCCAGCATACCTCTAGAGAAAGAAGAATGGCCCGTAATCATAATCGGGTCGAGCATGGTGGGAAAGGCGCTGGGCTTGCTATTGGGATACCATGGGTGATAAACTGCGATTGTGATTCTCGTAGTCAATCATGAGCTAATCATTGCCAGGATCAAATCGGTCTCTTTTGATCGACATGCGTCCGAGAGTTCTCAACCTCGCGCAGCGGGGCTAAATTTCCGGACTTGCGAAATCCTACGACAGATCGGGCTGGAAAGCTTTGCCCGAGAGCAAAGCAGTCAGCAATTTGATTCAAATGCCGGGATGCTTCTTGCAGACAAGCTCGTAGGTGGCAATGTCATTCAAGTCCTCCAGAAGCACGACCCAGATGTCACGAAGCGAATCACGCCGTCGTCTTGGATCTGGATGGCGCAGAGCATGTTTGAACCCATCCTTGGTTCGCATGCGAGTGAGTTTGGCAGTACTCAGCTTTACAGCCACGAGGTCCTCTGCTATGAGGAGCACAAAGATGGTGTTACCGTCGTTGTCAAGAACCATAAGACGAACGAGACAAGGAAGTACAAGACACCATACTTAGTTGCGTGCGATGGCCATCGGAGTCCGACTCGTCATAAAGAAGGCATCAGGTGGGAAGGGCCAGGTGTTCTGCGCAACAGCTTCAGTGTTGGTTTCAGATCTGATCTAGGCCCTTTTGTCAAAGAAAGACTGGTTCATGGCGTCGTTTACGTTGCTAATGATGAAATCAACGGTGGTTTCCGTTTGGATGATGGGGGCAGGCAAGGCCTTCTGATGGTAAACAGCGTTGGAGAAAGGTCAGACTTTCCTCCTGGCAGTGTGACTGTCGAGGAAGCCAGAAAACGCTTTTACGACTGCGCGGGGCTTCGAGCGGATGAGGTCTTCGTCGACATGCATACTGTGAATTATTGGACAATGGCGTCTTATACTGCCGATCGAATGGCTAGTAAAACCGGCCGCGTGTTCCTTGCTGGAGACTCTGCTCACGTTATGCCACCGACCGGAGGGCTGGGAGGGAATACGGGTATTGCGGTAAGCCTCTTAATTTTGATGAGTTCCAAAATCTGACACATGCGCATATAGGATGCTCACAATTTAGCTTGGAAACTGGCCTACATTTTGACAGGAAGGGCCTCATCCTCGCTCCTGGACTCGTACAACGAAGAGAGGCAATTCATTGACGAGTTTACCGTCAATCAAGCAACTGCTCGCTTTCAGAATCGGGTCGCACTCCAACAACCACCGGCGCCAGAGGCTTCTGACGTCTCAGTGGAGCTGGGATACCGCTATTCAAGTGGGGCATTCGTCCCTGAGGAGAGCTATCATCAGCCCGATGAGCTTTACGATGATCCGCACTACCCAACGGCTTTCCCTGGTTCAAGATTTCCTCATGTTTTCTTGGAAGACGTTGGAATACCGGGTAGACAAATCTCGACATTGGATCTTGTCCGAAAGAACTTCTTGGTGGTCACTACTCAGCCGGATTCGCCGTGGGTCGCAGCGGCGAAAAGGATTAAGACAGTTGAGATCGACGTTGCTGTCTTGAACGCGCAATCTGCCCCATATAGAGACGCATCTGGATTGGTCGAGGAGAAGTGTAGATTACGAGCTGGTCAAGCCATTCTTATCCGGCCCGATGGCTTCATTGCATGGAGGGCAATCGCGAGACAAGACAATCATGAGACGGTATTGGAACACGCGCTTCGAAGGATTCTCGGAATTTCTGTTATCAAATTTATGATATAGAATACCTTTCATTGATAACGTTTTGTTTCAATGCGATGTGTCTTGATAACTCTTGATAATATCTATGGGCCGTCGGACTACAACCTGCACGGGAAACTCACACATTTGTTACGGTCATGGATCATTTGTCCTTACTGGCACCGAGAAAGGCTTCAACGTTACGGTGTATTGATTTCTTGACGCAAATAATGTTTATTTGGATATGCAGAAAGTGATCAGTGAGGGTCGAGTCGACACTTGACACTCGCTCATCTAAACAA